ATTTTCCCCAAGGGGGGAACTGAGACACAGGTTATCAAACCGCTTGCCCAAACTCAGCTGGAATCTACGGTAAACTGTAAGCTGCCACGTTTTTTAGCGGGTATGAAATGATGAGATACCTACTCCTCAATACTTAAGTAGGCATAACTGAAGCACTAGACCAAAAAGTAAAATACGCAATATGCATATCAGGCTTAGAGAGGATCCAATAAACATCTAACCATGTTACAAGTAACCTCCACTTAGAAGTCCTTCTTGGGACACTCGGCCAGGCCATTTGGGCTAAAGACCTACCCAAAGACCACCTTCAACTGTGATGGGTGAAAGATGAGCCTTAACTGATGGGCGTTCAGACCTGGAGACCTGGGTGAGGAGAATCAATGGTTTCCATGAAATCAAGGGAAAACTGCTGGCTCTCAATGGTGGTCCTACGTGAACTAAGGAGCTAATCAACTGAGAAGCTGGAAATACTTATCATGGTTGGCTTTGTCAAAATCAAATTGTATGTATACAACATATAAAACACATTTTTAGAAGACATATTGACACATACTCTCTCCATATATTTACAAAAATACGTGTATAAAGTATGTGCAAGGACTCCTTACCAATTATACCCAGAAACATTTGGAATACGAGGATCTACAGAAATTCGGTAAAAGGAACTAAGAGCAGCTGTAACAGAACTTTCCAGTGTGAAAGATCAGTGTTGAGAATATTTAGTTAAAGGTTATCAGATGATTATTGCTAAGCTGAAAAAGCACTTGTTGCTCAAGTAAATTCTTGGCTTGTGGGGTCAGGACAAGCACCTGAAGTAACTATTTTATATAATGATGTTCTTTCATCCTAGAAGTATTAGCTACAAATCTAGAAGAGACCCATTTGGGCTACTGGGTAGATCCCTAACAGGACACTTTATGATCTGCATCAATGGAGACTGCCAAAAATCCCCTATTCTGCCAGAAAGGAGAGTGAACTATGGCTCTAAGCCAGGAGGGGGATACCTTCCTCTAAAGAGCCCACTTTTAGTGGCATGTCTCCTGTGGACACCCTCCTTGTGAGGCAACAAGAATCAGGGCTCATGTTATGCTGACCAAGCCCCACCTAAGCGTTGGTATGCAGAGAGGGTGGTGGTGTTATTATTACAAGTCGGGTGTTTGGACCCAGGACTCTGAGGTTTCTGAAGAATCTTCCAGAATAGTGATAGGAGTAGATTTTCCAGATAATTATTTGAGACACCGATTACGACTGCAACAGAGGTTTCCTTCAACTGAACTAGACAAGGAAGCAGGGGCTATGGAATTGCATCACTGGCCTTCAAATCTTGGTCCCACCACATACTAACTAATTGAAGGACCTGACACACCTTCAATTCCTCAAATTCACTTTCCTCCACTAAAAATAAAATCGTGTAAAGCACTTAGTAACACCCAGCCCTTAGTAAGCTGCTATGGTTACAGAGTACTAACAAATCCTTTTCTTGACTCCAAAAGATGGCCAATAAGGACTGTGACTGTAAGACTTCTGGAATAGATATCTACGGGATGTAACAACAGGCTACTTCCATTCGGGGTATGGAGTGCAGAGCTGCTCTACACCGTGGTACCTTTGTGCTCTCCACCTCTGCTCTCAACACACAGTGGACATTTCTCAATTCGTAGCCCTGCTCAGGCCCATTCTTTCATTAGCTTTATCTCATTCCTAAAATTCTAGGAACTTGTTTCTACAACTGGCGTTTCTTTCTTCCCTTTGCAAACCCTATTACACCCCCTGGAACTCCTGTTTGTCATGCTACTTTTCATCCAAAAACCCCTTCACTCTTCACTGCTTTAGAAAATTTTATTCTCCCCCAAACTCTACAGGAGCATTTTGTCCTAAACACTCAGCATCTTGTTTACCTTGAATCAGCCAGAAAAGAGAAGCCAGTCAATCTTACTCTTACCCTTAATGGTATTTCCAAGCCACTGCTTCACGATTTGTCATTTGAGTGCTACACCAATTCCTCAAGCTGGCTGTTAATGTCGCTACTCTGGACGGACATTATTTCTACCTTGGACTTGTTTCAATTTCCTTTTTCCTTTCCATCCTGCTGCCTGTTACTGTTGATGGTTTCGCCTCTACCTTTTATCCAGAATGATGTACTGTGGACTTCCTTGTGAGGCATTCTCTGTGCACCACATTCCCCAATTCTCTAACCTCAGTCATGTCCTTCACCTGCCCCTCAGAACCTTCTCTTTCTGTCTTGCCTATTTAGTTCCAATTTTTCCACTTTATTTTCTTCTTATCCTGGATAGTTTGAGCCCCTTTGATGCCCCAGGTCACCCAACTTGTCCTGGTACTGCAACTACATTTAAGCACAAGAAACCACCAGAACAAAACCCCCACCTTTATTTTTAAGCAAGTTATGAACTGTATCCTATATAATAGACATATCCCACTGTTCTGGGTCTTTGTCTAGGGTTCATTTATATTAACCAATTAAGGGTGCTAGAGGCACAAGCGGAGGGACAAGTCTGCGCGGAGAGGACGTGTGCAGCAGCAGGTGGAGGGCAGGGAACAGCACTGAGAGCGGGAAGCAAGTGTGAATTAAGCACTGTGTTCCGGTGAGCGGTAAGACTAGAGGCTTGAGATCACTATGAAGAGTAATTTCAGTCCGGATAACGTCTCTGAAATTAGACAAGGTGACAAGCATGGACAGCATCATTCCCATATGGGTTCTCACCTCGCAGCAAACACACAGCCGGGGAAGGGAACAGGAACACACCTGGCTAAGAGCCCCCAGCCTCACTCGGGGAGACAAACTGTTTTCTGGAGGCAGAAGAGGGACCCAACCCCAGCTGCCTCACGCCTTCCGTGTGCAGCTCCACTGTTGGTCTTAGGATAAACACCTGAAGAGTCCTCAACCTGTGAATGAGCCTGTTTTCAAATGTTCATTTGCTTTCGTCTATTGTGAACTCACGGTATTTTCCCTTACGGTCATATAAACTCCAATCCTCAAAGCAAATCTGACATACAGTGTACCTAAATTATAGTACTAATACCATTACTATTATTATTATTATTATTGTGAAAATGTGTTCACACTTACAGCTTAGAAGCCAGAACAGATCTATTTCTCCAGGGACTTCTGGTTCCAACCAGTGACGATATGATGTTCTGGACAGGGTGACGGGTGGAGGGGTAAGAGATGGGGACCATCAGGAAAGTAGGGTAGAGTATGTACAGCAGTGGGGAGGAGACGGATAAAGGCCCAGGGCTGGACAGAGTGGCAGTTAAGAATAAGACGGTAATTACCCTCGTTTCTCCCCTGCCCTGTGTGTCACTGCCTCACCACTTCAGGCCCACTAACCAGCTAGAGGGGAAGGGAGGAGAGGATCCTGGAGTTGTGTGGGATGAGCTGGAGGGGCGGGGCAGTCACAGAAGTTGGGAAGGCACAGAGGGAAGGAAATCACAGGACATCACAGTGAAGATTAAAAATAATCTCTGTAAATACAAAGATAAACCGGGGTACCTGGGTGACTCACTTGGTTAAGCACCTGACTCTGGATTTCAGCTCAGGTCATGATCCCAGCGTTGTGGGTTCGAGCCCCTCCTCAGGATCTGCACTGACAGCTCCCCTCGGGAGCCTGCTGGGGATTCTCTCTTTCTCCTTCTCTTTCAGAATAAACATTTAAAAAGAAAAGATAAACAGAACAGGAGCCACGTGTATGTGTGCTCGCCTGCTGTCCAGAGTCCTGGGCCCTCATCTACAGCAGAGCTGCGCACTCAGTGATACAGGAGACAAGTCAACTAACTGTTGGTTGATAGGTTTTTGCACAAGTCCCAAAGGATAGTCATTTACCTTTGGCTCTTTTATGTGCTCAAGAAGATATACAAACCAAAAAACTGTAAACCAGTTTTGAAGAGCAATTATTAGGGAATTCAGAACATAAGCAGGGGAAAAAGAGAGGTTCTAGGAGCAAAAGAGAACACCAGCACCCTTACTCAACTAAACACACAGGCTTGTGCTCTGGTGAGCCCCTGGGCGCCTCACAATGCAGGTCAGTCTCCGATTTCACAAGACTTAACTCAGAAGAGGAGGAAAGGCCATCCCGAGGCCCTTGAGGCTGGATGGCGGTCTAATTTCCTGTTGGCTCCTGTCCCCTTCAGAGCTTTCCTTATGCTAATCCACAGTGGTCCGTGTTTAGAGGACCGTGCTCACACTTCCCCATCCCACAGGCTACCGTGAAGACAGCTGCGATTCAGTGCAATCAGGTGACCGTGGAGCTTGGACAATGGAGATTCTCGGCCCCTGCCCCAGACTTAGTAAGCAGGATGTGAGGGGGACGCAGGCATCTTAACCAAGCTCCACAGGGGACTCTGATGTTCACTGAAGGGGAGGAACCAAGAGAGCAAGGGACAGGACGAAGTCAGAGACCCACCGCTGATCCCTCCCTGCGTGACACTGTAGCGAGGTCACCATCTCCAGAGGCAGCGTATCCTCACTTTTAAAACAGAGAAGGATTTTAATGATGTATCTTACGAATTACAAAAAGTGCTTCGTGCCTTTCATAAGAGGCACCATGGCTGCCCTCCTGGCCCTGAGCTGTTCCCAGGGTATCGCTGTCACCTGCCCACCTGAACGGACCCTCCACCTCAGGCCGCTACCGGCGCCACAAGCCCTGAGCGTTCTCGCCTCTGCCTACGTGGGCTTTACCCTGAATGGTTTCTGTTGTCCTTCCAAATCTGCCCACCAAACCCTGATCTTCAACACAATCTGGGCTGACCCTCTCAGGCATCGGTGATCCGTCCTTCAGAACTGACAGCACTTACTGTCTGCCGGAGCACCACTTCAGGGACACGTGGCTCAGGCCACTTCTGCCGTCCTCGTCCTGTAGTCCAATCGCAGCTCACACGGGACCTTACAGACCGCAGGCTCCACTGAGGGCGTTAGTGTTACACACCTGGTCTTCCACGTCGGCCGACGTCACCCGCAGCGCGCAGCGAACGGTCCTCCCACAGCCCGCGGCAAACTCCTGAGAAGACGTCTGGGGCGCCCTTGCAGCGACAGTGACTGCCGTTTGGCCCTGAGTCACTTGCGAGCTAGTACTCCTCTCCAGCCTGCGCTCCGTGAGACGGCGTCCCTGCAGTCCTCACAGAAGCAGACTCCTCTCCTTCGTGGACGGTCTGAGGCTGCGCAAGGGCGGAGGCCTGCCTGAACGATTCCCCGCACTCTTTAGAAGGAGCAGCTCGACTATGGATTCTCCGGTGTTTGCTAAGATCTGACCTCTGTCTGAAGGCTTTGCCACACTCATCGCATCGGTAGGGTTTCTCCCCAGTGTGGATCCGGTGGTGCTGAATGAGGCTGGTGATGCCTCGGAAGGCATTCCCACAGTCGTCGCACTTGTACGGCCTCTCTCCGGTGTGTGTTCTCTGATGTTCCGTGAGGACTGATCTTTGAGTGAAGGCCTTCCCGCACTTATCACATTTGTAAGGTCTCTCTCCAGTGTGAACTCGCTGATGTTCTACAAGACTCGTCCTCTGAATAAAGGCTTTTGCACATACGTCACACTTGTAAGGTTTCTCCCCAGTGTGGATTCTCTGATGCTGAACGAGGCCACTCTGACTGAAGGATTTCCCACACTCCTTACACTGATGGCACTTTTCTTTGTGGTGGATCTCTTGGTGGGAAACCAGGGAGGAGTTGTAAACGAAGGCTTTCCCGCACTCGCTGCACTCATAGGGCTTCGCCCCAGTGTGAACTCCTTGATGTTGAGTAAGTACTGAACGCCGACTAAAACTTTTATTGCACTGAGCACAATGGTATGGTTTGTCTCTTGTGTGGATTTTGAGATGGTGAAAGAGGCCTGCCTTCTGGCTAAAGGCTTTGCCGCATTCGTTACAGTGGTAGTGTTTCTCTCCTGTGTGGAGCCTCTGATGCTGGTTAAGAGCAGACCAGCGGCCAAAGGCTTTGCCACACTCATTACATTTATACGGTTTCTCTCCCGTGTGTACTATTTTGTGCCGAATCAGCACTGTTCTCCCACGGAAAGTTTTCCCACATTCCTCACATTTGTAGGGCCTGTCTCCAGTGTGGACCCTCTGATGTTCTAGGAGGTTCGAATGTTTACTGAAGGCTTTTCCACACTCCTCGCACTCATGAGGTTTTTCTCCTGGACAGGCCCTCTGCTGTTCAGTCAGATGGACTCTGTTTTCATCACCCACAGATTGTTCACCTTCCCTGGAGTGTCGAGAAGACTCTTCGGTTTCTGCTTCAGATCCGTAAGCTTCTCTGCACCAAGCCAGCTGGGACACTTCACTTTCAAATCCACTACCCATGTTCCCATGTGGTGCCATCTGTTCAGAAGCTTCTTGCTTTAGAGTTAAATCCCTGTACTCATTTCCAGTCTCAACACCTGAAACTACAATAGATCACAAAGTTAACTAGTTTCCACTTCATTAGACAACATAAAGTTATTCAGGTGAAAACCACATGAAGAACCTAAACTTTCTGCAGGACTGTACAATAGCACAAAAACACAGAACACACCTAACATATAAAACACTCCAAAACTTGTTATGGGAAAAGATCAATAACCCAATAGAAACTGAGCAAAGAAAAAACTGTTTCCAGGAAAGGAAACACAACAGTTCTTAAGCAGAAGATGCTCCACTTCAAAATAAGGAAAAGCAAATTTGAATACTGAGATACAATTTGTACCCATCACCTCCAGCCATCAGTTTTTCATGAACATTGTGTTCATGAAATGGGAATCACACGTCACCAGTGGGACTGTAAACTGACCTAGGCTTCATAGACAGCAATATGCCAATATCCATCAAAATGACAACTGTATTTTTAACCTTTGGCCTAGTAATTCCACACATGGGAATTTATACTGAAACACACACGCTCACCATAGCACTACCTGTTAGAGCAAATCACTGGGGACAAATGGGGGACAAGTTAATTGTATGATTCATCCGTTTTAATATTAAGCTGCTGTTAAGAAATAAAAAATATGGGGTGCCTGAATGGCTCAGTCAGTTAAGTGTACCTGTGATTCGATTTCGGCTCAGCTCATGATCTCACAGTCACAAGACAGAGTCCAGAGTTGGGCTCTGTGCTGAGTGTGGAGCCAGCTTGAGATTCTCCTTCTCTCTTCTACTGCCTCTCTCCCACTCATGTGAGCGTATTTACTATCTCTATTTAATAAAAATAATTTATCCCCAAAAAATTAAAAGCAGAACTACCCTATGACCCAGCAATTGCACTATTAGGTACTTATCCAAAGGATACAGGTGTGTTGTTTTGAAGGGGCAGAGGCATCCCAATGTTTATAGCAGCACTATCAATAAGAGCCAAAGCATGGGAAGAGTCCAAATGTCCACCGATGGATGAATGGATAAAGATGAAGTGATATATATATATATACATAAATAATATAAAATAATATATAAATATATAAAATAATATAAAAACAAAAAGGAGAACAAAAACATGAGACTCTTAAATATAGAGAACAAACAGAGGGTTGCTAGAGGGATTATGGGAGGGGGGATGGGCTAATGGGTAAGGGGCATTAAGGAATCTACTCCTGATATCATTGTTGCACTGTATGCTAACTTAGATATAAATTTAAAAAAACTTTTTTTAATGTTTTATTTATTTCTGAGAGAGAGAAAGAGGCAGCAGGAGCCCGATGCGGAGCTCAAACCCACGATCCATGAGATCATGTCCTGAGCTGAAGTCGTACGCTTAACCAACTGAGCCACCCAGGCGCCTCAAATTTAAAAATAAATAAATAAGTAAACAATACAAAATAAAAATAAATTTTAAAAAAATGAAAGCTTTTACTATCTTAGTAATAAAGAGAAGAAAATGTATTTGAGTGTGGAAAACAGATACATATAAAAAGACCTCTAGAGAATCACATACAAGAAACGAAAAACAGTGACCACCCATCTCAGGGCAGGGAGGAGACCAGATGGCCGAGGGAATGAGTGGAAGGAAAACTTGTCACTGGATAACTTTAAGGTTTCGTGTTTGAACTGTATGAATTTTTACCTAGTTTTAAAAATGAAATGAAGGGCGCCTGGGTGGCTTAGTTGGTTAAGCGTCCGACTTTCGCTTAGGTCATGATCTCGCGGTTCGTGGGTTCGAGCCCCGCGTCGGGCTCTGTGCTGACTGCCAGCTCAGAGCCTGGAGCCTGTTTCAGAGTCTGTGACTCCCTCTCTCTCTGACCCTCCCCTGCTCACGCTGTCTCTCTCTCTCTCCTAGAAATAAATAAAACATTAAAAAAAAAAAAGATAAAAATGAAATGAAAAATAAGTGTAGAGAAAATAGAGATAATGGGGCCTCTCACACATTCACCAACTTTTAACATTCTGCCACATTTGTGCTGTTGTTTCTTCTCCCCATGAGTTCACGTATATACATTTTCTCCTGAACCATCTGAAAACTGCAGACAGCCTGGGCCAAAGTCTGGTTCACTGAAGGAAGAGGGACAGAGCCAAAGTGAAGACAGTAGCACCATTTGATAGGCCAGAGGCCAGAAACAGCAGGGCGGTCAGTACAAAGGAAGATAACTATCAGGACTAAATTAAGTGATCTCAAATAAAATACTGCAAGAATGGACAACAAAACATTAACATAGAGAAAACAACAGTTGAAGAGTGACAAACCGAACTGGCTGAGAGTCTGGGCATGAGAGGCCTTCCTGACTGTGATGATGAGAAATGGCACAAAGAACTAAAAAGGCCCAACGTCCTGTGCCAGGCTGTCTTCCCTTCCTCCCAAGTTGGTCTGTCTTCTTTACCTTGCTCCTCTGGCTGGGCTCCACTTCCTGGAGATTCACACTTCAGCCGGGCAACCACAGATGGGAGGGACGTGCTGGGCTCCAGGCCTGTTCCCAGAAGGGCCGTCTCCTGCAAGGGCATGTCCTGTTACTCCGTGTGGACGGGGACATGGCTGACACACTCACTCTGCCAACAGGAAACAACGGTATAGGACCCAAGACACTGACACCTGGCTCAAGGGCACCTGGACTTCTTTCCAGACATCAGCCTGTCATAATGCACCTCATTCTTCAAAGCTACATGCAAGCCACCTCCTCTAGGACCCTGCCCTTCTGTTCTGAACCGCTACAAAATACTGGCTATGCCACTGTCACGTCTCTGTCTTATGCTCAAAGTGGAGGAGCGAAAGAGAAGAAGAAAGAAGAAAGGAGAGATAGAAGAGAAAATAGAGAGGCAGCGAGGACAAGAAAAGAACTTGGAGGAAAATAAAACAGAAGAAAGAAGAAGAAAAGGATGGGGTAAGTGATGAGAAATGATAGAGAAATAAGGTGTAAAGGGAACAAAGGAGAAAGAGAGAGAAAACACAGGGGATGTGAGGGGGAAGCTGTTCCCTACAGTCTCCGCTCCTCTGAGGCCCCCACCCCACTTCTTCCAGGGGATGACCTTGTTCACTCCTTGTCCAAGGTCACAGTCACATCAGAGATCACCCACCCTTTACTAAATCACCCCCACACACACTTCCTCCCTTCCACTTAGAGGAAGAGGCCTTTTCCTCGTCAAGGCTAGTACCTTGTAACCTCCACTCTTCCCTTCAACCCCATCCCTTCCTGCACCTCTGACCTTTGCTCCCCTAAACTCACTCACTGCCTAAACTCACTCACTCTGTGGCTTCCACTCCTCCACGGAATCATTCCCTCTTGTATTTAAATATAACAGGTTTCCACAGCGTGGTGTGAAAGGCAGGGATCTGAGGCCACTTAGCTGCTTGCTAGTTCAGGAGCTCCGTGCTCTTGGGCTGGGCACGCACAACACTGCGCACGAGGCACCTCGCGGGGGCGCCGGCACACGACAGGGCCTCCAGTTACCCCCAACCTGCAACGGCTACATTCTGTGAATAAGAAATCACCACACGCTGCCTCTACTTCCAACGTAGCTTCATTCTATAACCTCTGCCCCCACAATAAGAGCCAAATCCATAGGAAGCCCTCAGGGATGGGACAGAAAAAGAACTTTTCACACCTCAAATCTGAAGGAGAAAAAGGCCAGTAGAGTGAGCTGTGCCTTCTGCTCCCGGATCTCTGGCAAGGCCTCAGAAATCAAGATATAATTCAATCAGCCGCCCCCAGCATGCTTTGAGGAAAAGAGCAATACAAAGTCAACATGTTTAAAACCAAACCACTTCTGACCACACTTGGGAATGCCATTCTTCCCATCTCCCTAGCCACTCCGTTTCCACGGCCCTGATCATCCGTTTGTCCCAGAGCTTTATATATCACCCATATTCTGACAAGCTCCAATTTTATATTTCCAGCATAGATCCCTCCACTGAATCCAGATGCTTGCCCAGTTTTTCCATTTGGATTCTAAGAGGAATGTAAATATCACCACATCCAAAACCTGGTAACTCTCAAGTCCTGTCCCTACTCCAAACATTCTTCTTTCCCTCGCCTTTATCATCTCCACGAATGACAAACCCACGTGAGTGACGTAATGTTCAAAACAGAACCCTTAGCACCACCCTGAACTCATACCCTAAGTATAAACAAATCCCCTCAAGATCCAAATGCATCTCACCGCTTCCACTGCTACTGTCCAAAGTCAAGCCACCTCCTGCCTGGATTAGTGTAGTGCTGACTGGGCCTCCCGCACCCCTACTACCAGCCCTAATGTAAGACTCTTCCAACAGGGCGGCTGGAGTGATTTTTTTTTTTTTAATGTTTTTCATTTATTTCTGAGAGAGAGAGGCAGCGTAAGTAGGGAAGGATCAGAGAGAAAGAGGGAGACACAGAATCTGAAACAGGCTCTAGGCTCTGAGCTATCAGCACAGAGCCCAACGTGGGGCTCAAACCCACAAACCGTGAGATCATGACCTGAGCCAAAGTCAGACGCTTAACCGACTGAGCCACCCAGGCGCCCCTGGAGTGATTATTTTTAAAATTTAGGTCACAAGGTGCCTGGGTGGCTCAGTTGGTTAAGTGTCCAACTTTGGCTTAGGTCATGATCTCATGGTCCCTGAGTTCAAACCCTGCGTCGGGCTCTCTGCTGATAGTTCAGAGCCTGGAGCCTGCTTCGGATTCTGTGTCTCCCTCTCTCTCTCTGCCTCATGCTCTTTCTCTCGAAAATAAACAAACATTAAAAAAAAAACTTAAAAAAAAAACATAAATAAAATTTAGGTCAGATTAAATCTCTCTTCTATCCAAAACTCTCCAATGACTTTCCATCTCAGAATAAAATCCAAAGTCCTATAACGGCCCAAAAGTCTGTACATGATTTGATTTCCTTGTAACTACCAGATTTCATCTCCTGCATCTCTACTGCAACAAGCACATTCTCACCTGCCCACTATTTCCTCTGCCGTGATGTCCTCAGCCTAGGTGACTGTATAGCCTGACATCTGCTCTAAATATCACCCTATCTGGAAGGCCTTCCCTGACCAGTCTGTCAAAAACAGTCTCCGTTTCACTCACTGTTCCCTTTCTCTGCTTCACTGCTGTTTTCATACAGGATTTATCGCCACCTGGCACACCCTGGTTACTGTCTGCTTTTCTCGTTAGACTAGAATCTGTCTACAAGACAGCAGCAACTTCTATGCTTTGTGCCTGGCTGTGTTTCCAGTGCCTAGAATGGTGCCTGGTGCATATGAAACATTCAATAAACGTCTTCTGAACTAGTGAACTTTCCCCCAATCCACCTTCCCCTCTTGATAGGAACACTCCCCGCCTTGACCTCTGATAGGAACACCTCAATTACACTAGTCTCTCAAGCTTGAACCCCCCAGCGCTTAGCCTAAACTAGACTGCTTGGTAGAGTTTTCCCTTCATTTTCCCTTTATCCATCTAATCTGTCATTTCCAATTAATATTTATCTAAGACATGCCTCATCCTTCATAGTCTCACCATCCTGATCTATTTCAAACTCAGATCTTTCTGCCACATGTTCCTCCCCCTCCCCAAAGCTGGACTGCACTTCTTGTTTTATTATTCCCGTTTTATACTCTTCATACGAAGACTTCCAAGCCTTCACTCTATTGAGACGCTGGGTCAGACAATTCCTTGTTACAAGAAGTCACCCTGTACATTGTAAGATATTCCATAACATCCCTGCCCTTTAGACATTAGATCCCAGTAGCACCACCCCTCATTATGACAACCAAAAATGTGCCAAGACATCGCCATATGCCCTCAAGGGCAGAAAACTGCCACTGGTTGAAAACCACTGTCTTTTATCAATATTGGAACAAAACAGAACAGGGTCCTACATAATTTGGTTTTATTCTGGGGTTAGAGAAGTTCACTTAAAGAGAAAACATTATAAGCTTGTGTCCTACAGAACAGACTCTACATTCTACTGGTGATACTCAAAGGCCTGGACTCTGTTCTCAACCTTTCTACTCACAACCTACCTGTCGGACCCAACTGGGTTCTACTACTCCAGGAATCTTGGTCCCCACTCTCTGAACCTTCCTCTCTGCTCTGACCTCACACTCCTCCAAGATACCAACCTTGATTTCTCCATCTTTTAATCCTATAATGGACGCATGGCAGTGGATATACCCGCAAGACTTTATTTCTTACTTGTATCCCGCAACAGAAGCAACGTCCCTTTCAAGAGACAGCTCCCCACCCCATTAGGATCACCTCTCTAACATTTTCTCTTAGGAATCTTGTTTCTAATGTTTCTGAGTAGCATTTCATCAAATAGAATACTATAAGCTTATTACAGAAATACATGATCCTTCCGCAAAAAAAAGGTATAAATAAGTTAGGGCTACGTTAACCAAATTTCCATTATTTGGTGGAAAAATCCTGTCCTTCAATGTCGCCTAGAAATCCTAATTCACTTTTCTCAATCACAAACCATGTCTCGTTTTCTCACTTGCTCTCCCGGTTCGTCCAGCTCCCTCTCCAGATCCTCCAGCACGGTCACCACCTCGTCCCCGCTCTCCGGATGGTGCTCCCGCACCCAGGCCTGGAGCTCCTCGGGCAGGATGGTCAGGAACTGCTCCAGCACCAGCAGCTCCAGGATCTGCTCCTTGGTGTGTATTTCTGGGCTCAGCCACTGGCGGCACAGCTCGCGGAGCCGGTGCAGCGCCTCGCGGGGCCCAGGGGTCTCCTGGTAGCAGAAGTGCCTGAAGTACTGTCGGAAGACCTCCCTGCTGTGGGTGTCGTTCTTCTGCAGGTTCTGATCCTGTCTGGCGGTATTCCTGTATTCCTCCTCCACCTTTACTTCCAGAAGCGCACCCCTGTCCCCGTGGGCCAGGGCAGCCCAGGCAGACGCCATCGCGGCCGTGGAAGCTCTAGTGGTGCTTCCAGCAAGGGTGGACCTGAGGGAGAAGCCGTCGCTTTTAACACAAGTTACACCATAAGCATAAATTGCAAATTCTAACAATTTACTTCTGTGCTGTGCAAGCCACCCCCAGGGTAATTTACGACACTCACAGAAACGGAACAGAAAGACAAGAACAGACTAAAGACAAAGATTCAATAAAAGGTGCTAAGGGTTTGAAGACTTTACAAAGGCAACACTTCCATTTAGCCCTGGAATAAAGAACGATCAAATGGAACACAACCAACGTTCAGAGCAAATAAGTAACAATAAAACGCTGAGACGGCCAGTTCCTAACCCGCAGGCGTGCGGAGGAAACCACGAAACCTGCGCGGTAGCCGCAGCCCCGCAGCAGGTGTAAGGGTCGCGGACGACGCTCCCAAAGGCTGTCCCTGCACCTGAGTCTCCTCGGGTCGGCGGGGCAGGGCACAGCAGCAGCTCGCTCACCTGCGGCCCCCGGTGGCCGGAAGCCAGGTCCCTCCCGGGGAGACCACGGGCCGCGGGGTCCAAACCGCTGGGAGCCAGAACCACCGACAGCGCCCCACAAAAGCCAGAAGCGAGCCGGGCGGGCGCGCGCGCACTTCCGCTGCAGCCGCAGGAAGGGGCGGGCACTCGCCGGGCGGGTCCGCGCGGCCCCACGAGGTCGCGAGAGTGGGCCAGTTGGGCGCGAGTGCACTTCCGCTGCAGCCGCAGGAAGGGGCGGGCACTCGCCGGGCGGGCCCGCGCGGCCCCACGAGGTCGCGAGAGTTGGCCGGTTGGGCGCGAGTGCACTTCCGCTGCAGCCGCAGGAAGGGGCGGGCACTCGCCGGGCGGGCCCGCGCGGCCCCACGAGGTCGCGAGAGTAGGCCGGTTGGGCGCGAGTGCACTTCCGCAACAGCCGAAGGAAGGGACGAGCACTCGCCGGGCGGGCCCGAGCGGCCCCACGAGGTCGCGAGAGTGGGCCGGTTGGGCGCGAGTGCACTTCCGCCACAGCCGTAGGAGGGGTCGCGCTCTCGCCGGGTGGTCCCGGGCTGTCCCACGGGTCGTGACAAGTAGCCGGCTAGCTGGCAGGTGTGGCAGGCCTGGGCCCCCCGCTCCTGGCCATCGTGCCCGCAGCCCCACGGTGCGCGAGGCCTGGCACCCCTGGAATCGGTGCCGTTTTGTCATGTGTGTAATTCTTATAGATTGGCGTCAACTTGCCTGTGTAGTGTTGGGGACTTGGCGTCTCTCTTCGTGGGACATCTTGGCCCGTCGTTTTCCTTTGTGACATCGTCGGGTTCTGTCCACCCCGCCACGGGGTCTGTGCGGGGCCCGTCACAGGGGCAAGTGCCGCGAGAAGTGCGCGTCGAGGGGCAGGACGCAGGGAAGCCCAGACCAGACCTCCGGTTTGTACGCACAGGAAACCCAGGGATGTAGGGTCACAGAATAGGCATTAGTTTACTACTAACACTTCGCCAATTTATAAGCCAGGGAATTCCAACATTTAATAAAAACTGTTTCCTGTGATATTTTGATAAGCTGTCTAACTACTACTTCTAAAATCAAAGGGAAAAAAAATGAGATGTCTTAGGAAATAAAGGGTGAAACTGCAATGCCGGGAGACGACTATGTTATTTTGTACATAAAAAATGAACATAGAAAAACACGATTTGCTCATAGTCATGTTGGGTGTATTTGGGGAAGTTGGAAAGGAGGCAAAAAAGGAGAACAAAATTGAACATTTAGAGAATCCAAAAAGAACTTTATTATTTTTTCCCCAAGCTTTAAATCTGGGTGGATAGGGTATTTTGGAAAATTAAAGATGACTACAAATTTCTTAGTACTTTTCCTGTTTAGAGGTGGGATCTATGTGATTTCCCCTGGGTCTGAGTGCGCTCGAGGACTGTTCGAATAAAATACAGCAATAGTGATGCTGTTTTAGTTTCCCAGCCTGAGCCTTTAAGACAGCAGCAGCTTTCACTTTTTGCTTTTTGGAACAATTGCTTCTGGAGCCCTGAGCCACCACAGAAATCATCTGACTGCCCTGCTGCAAAGATCACATTAAGGAAGCCCTGAGACCATCCTTCTAAGCTGTCCTTGCCCCAAGGCACCAGGCATGGCAGCACAGCTGTCTGAGATTTTCCAGACAAACCCAGCTGCCAGATAAACACCACCAAGTGCCACTTTAAGATGCCACACGAAATGGAAGAAAATTCTACCTGAGCCCTCCCCAAATTCGTGGCCCAAAATCATGGGATGGTTGTTCCAAGCCACTGTTTCGGTTTTTTCTTTATTTGAGAGAGCTGGAGCAGAGGAGAAGCAGGGAAGGAGACCGAGAACCCCCAAGCAGGCTCCACATGGTCAGCTCAGAGCCCAGTGTGGGTCTTGAACTCAACAACTGTGAGATCATGCCCTGAACCAAAATCAGGAGTCGAACGCTTAACCCACTGAGCCACCCAGGCACCCATCTATATTCTTAAATGCCTGTATAAGCAAAAGTAAATCCTAATAGAAGATAACACCAATCAGAACCTTAGCTTATCTCCACAAATTTTCACATACAGTTGTGACTCTTGACCTTAGGGTCCTGAGTTTGAGCTCTACATTGGGGGGTAGGGATAACTTTTTTAAAATTGCGTTTTCTTTACATACAGTACATAATGCATGTAACATACAAAATATGTGTTCAGTTCTTTAGGATAACAGCAAGTCTTCTGGTCAATAGTAGATTCTTGGTGGCTAAGTGTTCGGGGGTCAAGTTATACTCAGATTTTGACTGTGTAGGGGATCAGCACCCCTAACCCCATGTTGTCCAAAGATCAACTGTACTATGAAAAGATCACGTTTATAGTGGCTGCAATGAATAATTAACATGATCATCTTTCTCCTGTAGAATTCAAAGTCAATATAAAGAGAATCCTGGCAATTTCCCTGAACTTAATGCAATGTAATTTTTTTGTTTGTGACTTTAGATTGCTTCCTTTATTTATATTACCTGCCTCTTCTGGGCATTTTGAGTTTGCTTATTCTGCCTTGAAGATTAACTTGGATCTTTCCTGTTTTCCTATGCAAATTAATACCTTTAAAAAAAAAGATGCACCTGAGGCTCCTGGGTGGCTCAGTTGGTGACTCTTGGTTTCAACTCACAATTCGTGAGTTCAATTCCCCATACTGGGCTCCGTGCTGACTATGCAGAGCCTGCTTGGGATCCCCTCTCCCTCCCTCTGCCACTTCCTTGCTCATGTATGCACACTTTCTCTCAAATAAAAATAAACTTTAAAACATAAAGATGTGTCTTTCTTGTTTGGAGTCTTAACTGGGGGCTACACATCCTACATCATAACCTAGATAGGAACAGAAGGCCCAAGAATTCACCTATGTCACTGAAAAGATGCTGAACAAGTTCTTTTTTGACTTGGCAAGTCATAACTGCAACATTTAAAATAATTTACCATTGTGGTGTCTGGGTGGCTCAGTCAGTTGGGCGTCCGACTTCAGCTCCGGTCTTGATCACACTGTTCGTGGGTTCGAGCCCTGCATTTGGGCTCTGTGCTGATAGCTAGCTCAGAGACTGGAGCCTGTTTGACATTGTGTCTCCCTCTCTCTCTGACTCTCCCCTCCTCACGCTCTCTCTCTCTCTCTCAGAAATAAAACATTAAAAAAATTTTTTTAATAAAAAATAAAATAATTAACCATCTAATAATGTTCCTATCTGTATTTTATACATGAATTTTCACTAAAAAAATTAAACAGTCCAAGCTTTTTAAGAACTGTATTTAGGGACTGATTACAACACTTAGAAATCTGAACTGGTGGTCCATACACAGCCCTCTGAATCACTAAAATAATGTATCTGCTTGAGAGTGGTTTTTAAAAAGAAAATTTTTTTAAATACTTATTTTCGAGAGAGAGAGACACTGTGCAAGTTGGGGAGAGGCAGGGAGAGAGGGTGACACAGAATCTGAAGCAGGCTCCAGACTGAGCTGTCAGCACAGAGACGGATACAGTTGAGATCATGACTGGAGTTGAAGTTAGACACTTAACTGACTGAGCCATCCAGGTTCCCCAAAAGATTTTAATGTTAGATGAGATGCTACTGTTCAGACTTTTCCATCCATATTTATTAACTTCTCACATTCTTTGAGTTTTCTGATCTTTAATAAGGAATGAAATACTCAGGAAAATTCTAACTACGTTAATTAAACTAAGAGTTTCTCTCCAACACAGACTCTGATACAGTAAAAAAGTTGTGTTCTCACTGTAACCTTTCCCACACTTGTTAAGATGGTAACAGTTCTCCCTGGTGTGAAGTCTCTGGTCCTGGTTAAGAGCTGACTACTGTCCAAGGCTTTAGCACACTTGTCACTTTTATTATAGGGTCTCTCTCCAATATGGATTCTCTATGATGAACTAGTCCAGTATCTGCACCGAGCGCTTTCCCATATTCTCCGTATTTGTGGGTCTAATTCAGTGTGAATTCTCTTATCTTCAATGAAGCCAGCACTCTTGGACTAAAAGGTTTTCCACACTTCTCACATTCATAGCGTTTCTCTTCAGTGTGTATCAAATACTGGATAAGGATGGAGCTCTGAGTGAAACTCATTCCACATTCATCACTTATGCCATCACAGAAATATTTCTAGGGTTCTCTGGTATTTTTGGACTTCTACATAATCAAAGTGCTGAGGAATATTGCCATCAAATCTAACAGTGTGTTCCTGTTGGCATGTTATTTCTTCAGATTTCTTCTACTTTGGAAACACCTTCTCATTCTCCATTTTGACCAAATCATCTGAAAGAAGAGATTGAAAATTTCAGCCTAATTCCCTCATTCACACACACTTTACTCAGTTACTTGTTCACTGAACAAGAACTCATTGAAACTACATGCTAGAAGAAAACAAAATGTTTCATGTGAGACAGATATGTACTGAGTTTTGACTTAAATTATAGCGTTATTTTTAAAAGGGAAGGATATGCATGTATACATGTGCTTATAATAAATATAAACAACAAAGGGAAAAACCATAACAATAAAGAGCAAGAAAAGATTACCTATGAGAGGGAATTGAAGGAGGGAACAGGAGAATTTTCTTGAAAATATTTTATAGATTTCATATATAAAAGTTTATATTTTACAGAATTTTAAAAATCTATATAAAAAATAAAATTAAAAAAGCAATCCCTAAACACTGAAACAGAAATGAAACAAACTGAATTTAAATGTGTACCTGCTGGTGGCATAACCACACAAAAGAGAAATTATTTCCAATGTCCTTAGAAGAGGAATTTATTTGTATATACTCAATGATATAAAACTTAAAGACAAAAAGAATGGAAAAATCAAGCACCACCATTAAGCTGTTTATAATAATCGTATTTGATAATAATGCTAACATTTTTATTGAAGCTACTGAATAGGGATAAAGCATAGGAGTATTTGATACTCCATCATTCTTAATGTTTTTGAGAATTCTCCACAAGGATACAGATGAAAGAGTAAGACCTTCAAGTACTGAATCTGAATTGGAACAATCAGTATGAATTCACAATACATATTTTATCTTAAATTCTTCCTAGCTCTGAGCACTGAAAGGCGTAGAAACAATGTCCAATAACACAATAAGCATTCCTACTCTCTTATTTTTGGTTTTAAAATGCCATTTCTCACTAAACAAAATCTGGGGTCCTTGGGAAAATGATTGATTTCAGGAGTAGGGAAGGAATTAGAAGAGTCTATACTTCTTTTTATACCCAAAACAAGAAAGGTGTCAAATGCCTAGACTCATGTCATAAATATAGGAGACCAGCATCTGAGAAGCCTGCAGAAGAGAAACCCACCACAGAAGACAAAAAGCCCGATGCATAAGCTTCAGTTTATTTGTCCCATACATGTCGAATCATTCTGGACAGCTAATTTTGAATAAAAACCTGATTAAAGTAAAAAATAATAATTTGATATCGATACAATGGAATCTGTGTCAGCTATATGTATACGTTACATGTAACTCTTGGGAAATATGTCCATAATGTAATACTAAATTTAGAAGTAGTGGTTGATATGTTCAGCATGATTACATTTGGGCATGTATGTATGCTTGTCCAATAAGCAAATAAAAATAATAAGTTTTGTTTCCTACACGAAGTTTTTAGAAAAGCACATTTAAAAACTTCTCTACTGTATGTAGACTTTGAATTATTTTCTACTGGCTTCAATGTAGAATAATGTTCTCCTACCTTTGGCATAAAAGGTCAGGCCCAGTGAAGTTGGTAGTATTCAGTTAGAATGGAGAAACTGAACCATTCAATAGGAGCAGGATTTTCAACAATTTTAGCGCAAAGAAGTGAAGGAAGAATCACGATCAAGGTTAAAACGATGTGCTTTAGAGGGACAAGTTAAAAATGGAACAAGACATCAAGGTAAGCAAAACTTTTAGTGATAAGGCTCATTTGGAAAAACGCAGAAGACATTTCTGATCTTTCCCCCACGGAATCTGATCTTTCTCCTCAGTAGATTCAGAATCAGCTGCCCTGTTCTGGCTGGAGAGTGGACCCCTGTGAGTCCTAATGCCACTGCCAGACAAGCTGTTTGCCCTCAGGGCACTTCCTGTCCCTGTAGGACTAGGGGCCCCGGACAATTGGAGAAATCTGACCAGGGTGATATCTGCTGAGGGTTTAGAGCTTAGATCCCAGTACGAATGGGGGAAAAGAATAGGAGAAAAGAAAGCAGAGTTTCCCTCGACCTATAAGGACAGGGAATAAATGGACAGGGAGAGGAATACAACTCTGGCCAATGCATCTTAGCCATTTCCTCTCACTACACTTGAGAGGAGATGTCTGGAGAGAATACCCGCCTCTGATAATTTTTCTTAAATGTCTTTATTTTGAGAGACAGAGACAGAGAGTGAGCCGGGGAGGGGCAGAGAGAGGGAGACACAGAATTCGAAGCAGGCTCCAGGCTCTGAGCTGTCAGCACAGAGGCTGACACAGGGCTCGAACCCACGGACTTGCCTCTGATAATAAATTATTCCTTCCTTATCTCACCTTCCTCCTGGATGATCCAGCTTCCTCGACAAGCCCCCAGTCCAGTAACAGCCTCCTCCCTATTTGCTGGGTGCTGCTTTCACACCTGGGCCTGGAGCTCCGTGGGCAAGAAGGTCAGGAACTGCTCCAGCACCAGCAGCTCCAGGATGTGTTCCTTGCTGTGCGTCTCGGGCCGAAGCCACTGGCGGTGGAGAGTCTGCCTGGGGCTGGACTCCTGAGGCCCAAGGGAATCCTCCCAACAGAACTGCCTTAAGCTCTGTCTGAAGAACCCCTGTCAGAAGCACCATTTCTGCGCAGGCTAGATGCTTTAACTATTTGACATCCCTTGTGTTCTTCTGCAGCCCAAAAGGACTGGACTGAATCCATTCCTGGGCAAAACATCACCACAACAGCAGGAGAGGCTTAAGGCTGGTCATAAGGCATCACTGTTAACAGAGATCAACTCCGAACTAAAAGCGTTATTTTCTCAGAGTGAATCGTTGTGGTCAAGCCAATGATTTGAAGGTACAGACGCTCTGTAAAAGATAAAACAAGCACAAAATGTCATTAGAATCATGTCACAGGGGCGCCTGGGTGGCTCAGTCAGTTAAGTGTCCGACTTCGGCTCAGGTCATGATCTCACTGTTCATGGGTTCGAGCCCCACGTCGGGTTCTGTGCTGACAGCCAGCTCAGAGCCTGGAGCCTGCTTCGGATTCTGCTTCCCTCCCTCTCTGACCCTCCCCTGCTCATGCTGCCTCTCTCTCTCTCAGAAATAAATAAAACACTAAAAAAGTTTTTTTAAAGAATCATGTCATAAAATTAACTTATACACAATTCAGTTATTTTAGAATACTAGAGCTTTTAAACCTAGAAACTAAAGTGAAACATTCAGATTACATTAAATATTCAAATAATGAAGAAAAACAATGCAAACAGCTTTGCCTACTTGAATTGCATGTTTAGTCAATTGATTTAGTCAATTATATCTATAAATCAATCTCTCTGTGCCAAGAATTAGGCTAGATAGCTTTCAAAGGCATTTTTAGTTTTAGAAAAGAACAGTGTGCATGTTATGTGGGGTGTCTCACATTTGAGTCAGGGATCCCAAGTCAATTAACCGAAGTCCCCTTGTATACAAACCTAGTATTTTTCAGTCCTTTACTTCCCAGATGCCCCTGCAGCACCTAACACTGCTAACCACTCCCAATCTTCTAAAAACTGCAATCTTCTGGCTGTTTCTCCATGAGCTGGTTTTTGTAAAGTGCTTAGACCAATACTTGGTGCTCAGGAAGTATTATATAAGGGCTTGTCGAAAGCTCATTCTTAAGTCCACTTCATGGCTCTTCTTCAGCTTGCCAAGAAATGTCTAGTTACCATTCATTGAGATCCAGCCTTCTTCTCATTCCACGTTCACTCTGGGCAATCTTGTCCATTCAGTAACATCTGAGAACTGAGATGCTATCACCTAGCAACTCCTAAATCTGACTGTCTTATCCCAATCTTGCTTTGGAGCTCAAGACCATTATAGTCCAATGGAATATCAGATCCTTTCACTTGTCTTAAAAGCACCTCAACACTGCCAAAAACTAACTCATCATTTTCCCCTTATGATCAATAATGTCTCTTCTAAAATTACCCATTTCTTTTTCTTTTTTTTTTTAAGTTTATTTGAAAGAGAACGTGTGCACATGCATGTGTGTGAGCAGGGGAGGAGCAGAGAGAGAGACAGAGAGAGAGAAAATGCATGGGGGATGGGCAGAGAGAGAATCCGAAGCAGGCTCTGCACTGTCAGCACAGAGCCCACCCCGGGCTCCCACTAACCACAAGATCGTAACTTGAATGGAAACCAAGAGCTGGACACTTAACGGACTGAGCCACCCAGGCAGCCCTACCCATTTGTGTTAAAATGACACATTCATTCCACTAATCATCTAATCCAAAACCTAATTATCCCTATCTATAGTAAAAAGCAAGCCTGTAGTACTTAGGATGTGCCAGGCATTGTGCTCAGCACGTTTTCAACAATCTTTCTCCCTTAGACATCAAGTGGAGTTAAATCCGCGTCTTCCACACAATCCACCCCATCCTTGTCGTTTTCATAGCCAGCACCTTACTGTCACCAACTCACAGTACTGGCTTTTCGGGGACCACTGCGCCTCTCTTCTCCCCCTTGCTTCCAGTCTTGCCTCCTTCCAATTCATTACCACCTGCTTCTAGAATTTCTACAAGCCTAGTAAGATAACACTACTCCCGTGCATGAAGACAGGGACTCCCGTCTCGGCGACGTCCCCCTCCCCGACCACTGGCCACGCCGCCATTCACTGCACCGCGAGCAGCTCACAGCAGCGTCAGCACATTGACGACCTGGGCTGCCCGGTGGCCGCGCGGAACTGGGCAGCGCAGCCCAGGCCGGCTTACATATGCAAGGCCGTGCGCACACACACACAGCGTGTGCACATTGTGCGGGAACAGTCACACCGAAAACAGAGAGGCACACTGCCTTTTCGAGTCCAAGTCCCCTGGGGTACCGCAGTTCCTCTCGGTCCCGGCCACAGCACACCCACCTTCTCTCGGTTTCCTCTCTGCTCTCCGCCACGCCGCGCAGGCGCCCCCCGGCTCCGGGCACCCCACTGCGCCGTACGGGTGCGCCCGTCTTCCGCTCGGCACTGTGAGCTGCGGGCCGCCTCCGACCTAGAGAGCCGCACGACGGCCTGCAGCCCGTGTCCGCTCGAAGGACACGCTTCACTTCTCAACGTTCCCTGAGCCGAAGAAATCGCACTTCCCTCCGTTCTTCAAAACCCTGCGATCCCATCACCGCGCGTCGCACCGGGTCGAGCCTTCCCGGCGGTGGTCACGACCACCGCCAGGGGGGCCTCGTTGAAACCAGGTCTCCGGAGGTGAATGGAAAACCACCTCCGGCCCTAAGGGCGCGTCAGCGCCCGGAGCCTCGAAGCGGGTGGTCTACGCAGCGCTGTAGTCCACAGGCGCGCGCGGCGACACAAAGGAGACGGCGTCCCGTGGAGCCGCCACCTGGCCCCAAGGCCACCTCTCCCGGGAGAAGACGCGCGCTAGCAGCGGCTCTCAGGAGGCCGGAAGTACGTCACAACGCGCGGGCACGCCCCCGCCGGCTCCTCGCCGCCCCTCTAGGAAGGATAGAGGTCCCATATCTCAGTGGTTGGCCGGCTCCCACCGCCAGAGCCTTCGGTGGCCTCTCTGGACGGCTCAGGCGGGTCCACTGGGTGTCTGGCGGCCACGCAGCCTGGGCCCGTCTCTCTGCCCTGCTGGGGAATGAGACGCAACCCTCCGTCCCCTAGGACCCCGGTCCCTTGATACCATTGTCCACTGGCCCCCAGGGTCCGAAGCAATAATCGACAGGCTGAGCAAAGCAGCATTGAGGGGCAGGTGTTGGCTTGCTCTCCACGGTCTCAATCTCTGTGCAAATGACTCCAGTCCTTTTTAGTAACCTAACGACTTACAGATCCCCGACTCTGCAGAACTGGCGGAAAGGAAGGGAAGCCGCGCGCCCTGCCCTGCCCACTGTGAACGGCCAGAGAATTGCAGAACGTGGGGCCCCGTCAGCCTGTCTTCGGCACCCTGCGGTGGTTAGAGCGCTCTGGTTCCACAGCCCGTGAAGAATGTGCAACATTATAACTTAGGAAACTACCTGGCACAGTATCTGGTCCTCATTTTTCCTAGCTACTTGCTTCAAATGCCTCGCGCTCTGCCTTATTCCTGTGAGGTTGTGATCTGGTGTGCTATATTCCCACTCTTCCTCTGTATGTTACAGGTGAACAGCCATACTAGTCCATCAGCCCTAACCACTGAAATGCTCGAGGCTTCTGAGCGGCCATCCGTCTTGTCTGGTAAACCATCATCTCAACAGGCTCATCTAGCTATTTTAAGTGTTTTGTCGTTGGTTGGGGGGGGGGGGGGCATACCCACCCTTTCTTACCTAATCCAATAAATGTGTTAACCGGGATTATTTCAAATCAGGCACATGGTGGCTACCTTGGTCTAGGTGGCTACACCTAACCATCCCATAGCCTCCTTCATAGATGTTCTACCTTAGCTTTCATGAGAACACTGTATTCTTTTCTTTCTGATTCTGTCTCTTCTGTCTCCTCAGCTGGAAAAGTCTTAAGTAGGAATACCGTATGTCCTGATTTATGCCTCCTGGCTGCGTGTAATTATTAATAGCAATCCCTTTCATTCCCAGAAGTGTCCAAGATTGGGCAATACGTTATATATAGTTACCTCACGTCTAAGACCTACTGATACACTAGCTGAAATGCAGATTCCCAGGTCCTGCTCTCACAGACATTCAGCCAGTCTGGGGCAGTACCCAGGAAACAGCAGTTCAAACCGCGTAGGTGATTCTAACACAGGTATGTACTCAGAAGCAGTGGCTTCCTCAGAGAGCTGAGACGTTGGCAAGGAAAACTGCGTGTGGGTCCAAAGAGACCTAAAAAAAAAAAATCCGTGACTTACACACTGTGCCCGCCTCCTGTTTGCTATGTAAAGTGCGGAGATGAGTGAGGAGTGAAGAGCAGTGGGACACGTGGACTCTCTAGCAGCTATTGTAAGGATAAAGCACTTTTCTTGGTAACACCATCTCTGCATCCTTTTATATTTTCCTTCTCCTTGGTCACCACTTGCTGGCCTAATCCCGTTTTAGTGTGTAATTTTGCCTGGTTCCTTTTTATCTTCTCATGTTTTGTTCTTCCCTTTCCTTTTTCTACCCCGTTTTGTTGCTACTGTTTGCAGATGCCTAAATGGGTCTTGGATTCCACGTCCAAGTGTCTATGAAACCACATATAATTCACAATGACCTTTGTTCATAGTTTTGTTTTTAAAGAGTTTTTAAGATTTTTTTTTTTATTTTAAAATTTTCAATTACTGTGATTAAAAAATCAATCACTACAAGTGTTTAACCACTTTAGGCTTCACTTTTCTCATGCAGGTATGAAATTGGTAAACTCAAAATTTTTTCTTAAAGCTAAAATTCTCTGATTTTGGGTTAAGAAACTCCTATAGCACAACAAAATACTTTCAATGATTCCATCATGCTTAATAAAGTGTTACTGGCCTCTCCATCTGGCCCCCACCCCTGCACTTCCTTGCTGGTGCCCCATGACCAGGCCAAACTGGAAAACTCATGGCTCTCGAGCCTATCTCACTTGGGCCTTCCTCACCCTGTTTCCTCCGCCTCAGATACCTTCTGCTATCCTCCATCTCCTTCTACAAATAATCCACCTTTCTCTCAACTTTTATTTTCTCTCTCAACTTCTAACTCAACATTCAACCAATGACACACATGTATACTGGTATATAGATTTCAAAACTGCTCCTGAGAAAATGTTTCATACTCTTTAATTTTGACTTTAGATATACTGTTATTTTAAAATTTTCTCAGAGATATTTTTTGTCTTATATAGTTTTGCCTTAAACTGTCCTACCAGTGCTCAGACGGGCGCTCAAGAACCAGTAAGGCTTTTTTATATTTTTAGTAATCTCTACACCCAACGTGGGGCTGGAAATCACAACCCCATGATCAAGAGTCACACACTCTTCTGACTGAGACAGCCAGGCATCCCTAGAACCAACAAGGCTTTTTAATTGAATTTGAGTCAGTATTTCTTACACCCTGCTCAGCCATAAAACTGACTAGTCTTTCAGACTGGGGTTTTTCAAAGGCACAGGGAGAGATGGTTACTGGTTTACAGCGCAGCTGAAAGGAGATCAATGCCAGAGACTCTATGGGTTGAGTGAAAAGAGCCAGGGTAGAAAAAGACAAAAAGACAAGTGAGGGTAATGTAGAAACGTAAAGGGGAGTCAACGACAGTGTCCAGCCAGGAAGGCTGGAGTAATCACAGAAAAGGCAGGGTCTACATGCCACTGTCTACAGGTTAAGTCAACTAATGACAAACATGCATCCCAGGCAAGAGAACGAGAATGATCTGTATCAGAAAACAAGGAAAGTTATAGTCTGGTGAACTGTCAGTCATTTTAATCATGTTAACCATCACTGCATTCAAGTAGTTTACATCTCTACAGCACAGACTTTTGTTTTGTTTCTTGGTATTTTTATCAGTTGTTGAGAAAATTTAGAATTTTTGAGAAGCTGTGGGGGGAAAAAAAAAACAAGCACGAAACAAACCAAACATCCAATCTTCAATTGCAGGTGTAAAAACAGTCCATTAGAACTATATCCTTTAAAATCCCCATCTGTTCATATTTTAAGTCTTTTAATAGCTGTTATGATGGAATTACCCAAATGCTGTTTCAGCATATGCAGAGGCATCTGAGATGCTTACGAACTCAGGTTATAAGAATGTATGTATATTACTGTACAGAATATATATTTACCTGAGTTTATTTTATTTCAAACTTAAGTCTACTATATTTTCCTTAACTTCAATCGGTATGTATTTCCTTTGGAAATAATTTAACCTCAAGACACAGTAAAACACACTCTTGAGAAAATTTAAGATTTTTGAGAAGACCTACAATTAGCCAGAAGTGGCCTCACAAATGGTCTGAAATGTTATGACTGAGAATACGTAATAGAGCCAAATATACGAGACTGAAACCATCTGCATCACGGCATTTCTCTATAGAATTATACCCAACGCTAGTTGTGCAAACCCTGTTTTCTAGCTCATGTGGAAGTTGTTAGCTTTTAAACAGTTTGACTTGAAGTACACTGAGAGGAGAATAAAACAATTTGTAACATTCTGAAGTAGAGGTTGTGCATTCACAGAAGTGTGTTAAAGTAAGGAGCACCAGCAAATGAGATACCGTCCTTGTAAACAAAGAGGAGACTTGCTGTTTCAAGCTCTCTCTAAAGATCGTAGGGTTTCATGAACACAGCAAGGGGCTGAAGAGTGTAAACATATGCCATCTTTCCGTGGAACACAGGGAATAAGGTTATATATTATACAGTCACAGTTTCTTGTATTTACGTGAAGAAACACTGAAGATATGTTAAGATAGCAGAAAATGACTACCTATGAGGAAAGAAGACTCCCTTTTTAATGTTGTTTTGGTATTTGAATCAGATGAAGAATGAATTACCTTCTTGAAAAGTCCCTCTAAGAAAATTAAAAGTTAAAAAAAAAATCATTCACTACAAAAATAAGTAAAATGCCCCCAGTGAGGGATGAGTGGGAGTCTTTCCTGGAACGCCGTGGCCAGAGCAGCACACAGACGGGAGGCTCTGTTGAGGTGGCAAAACCTCAGTGCCTTCTAAATCCTGGAAGTTCCTTATATGAGTCACTTCTATCTGGTGATAAAACGCTCCCAGTGGCTTAGAAAGAGCACTGGGAATCAGGAGACAGGGTTCCAGCTCCAGTTCGGTGAACCAGCTGGAAGATCCACAGTCACTTCCAGAGCCCCCATTTCTCTATCTATTACATAAGGGGGCAAAGAAGTGATCTGTAGGGTCCCTTACGGTGTCTCTATCATGGTTAAGTGACCTGCGGTGTATTTGGTACTCTAATCCGGATTGCCATCACCACAGATTCCCATTTCTTTGTGACCTGGGCTTAGTATAAAGCTTGGTAAACACTCAATCAGTATTAATGAAAATAAGTACTTTTTAATTTTTTTAACGTTTTATTTATTTCTGAGAGAGAGAGAGAGACACTGTGAGCAAGGGAGGGTCAGAGAGAGGGAGACACAGAATTGGAAACAGGCTCCAGGCTCTGAGCTGTCAGCACAGAGCCCGACGTGGGGCTCAAACCCACGAACAGTGAGATCATGACCTGAGCCGAAGTCGGAGGTTTAAATGACTGAGCCACCCAGGCGCCCAGGAAGTAAGTTTTTTTAAGCATGACCTTGGTGGTAATCAGTAGGTAATGCTGAGAAGCATGGAGCTTATAAAGAGCAATCCACATGAAAGACTGATCAGAATTTCCAACTTCTATAAATATTTGAAATTTTGTATAACTAAAGGTTAAATAAAGAAACCAAAAACTGAAAATGCCTGTCACAGAAAAAATGCAGAGAGGCCTATATTTTTGTAATGAAAATCAGAAGTAAGAGATCGTATTTTTAGCTAAGTTTCTTGGTCTACACAAATTTGAAATCCTGAGCAATAGTAACATATGTTTGCCTCAATTCCTTGGTTCTTCACTGAAGGCTGAGTTAGTGGAACTCTACAGAGTTCTCCTACAGGGAGATGCCTTCTGTGTTATTTATGGGAGGATTCATCTACCCACTTTTGTAGGTTAAAAAGCAAATTATCATACCTTATGAGAAAATAGTCAAATAGTTCAAGTTACAGGTTTTACAGCTTATTATTTTTAAATTAATTTTTAAATACTCAAACTACTTGTAACATAATTTTGTATTCAGGCAGCATAAAACTTTTTTTTTAAAGTTTCTTAGAACTAGGACGAAAGAGTTTTCCTGAAGCACACCTGGAAAACTCCGCACAGGCATGTGGGACCAGAGACTATGTAACAAAGTCGGCACAACACTATTCAGTACCGTAAGCATGGATGTCGCTGACCCCACAGAACCTGACAGACGGACTTAACACATGCTTCTCTCAGCATAAAAACAGGGACAGCCTGCAAAGCCTGCGCTCCAGAGGGCCGAACGACTCTCCTCCTACAACTCTGCTTCAGCGACAAAGTGAGGGCCCGCCGCCGGGAGACGCTGCCCTACCTGCTGCAGGGGGCTGGCGGCGCTCGCCCCAGGGTGGACCTTCCGATGCTGGACGAGGTTGCAGTGATAGATGAAGTTCTTGCCGCAGGCTTCGCATGCATAAGGCCTTTCTCCAGTGTGAATCCGCTGATGCTTAATGAGGACAGAACGCCGGCTGAAGCGCTTGGCACACTGGCCGCACTGGAAGGGCCTCTCCCCGGTGTGGACCCGCAGGTGGTGGAAGAGCCCCGCGTTCTGGCTGAAGGCCTTGCCGCACTCGCCGCAGCGGTAGCGCTTCTCCCCCGTGTGGAGCCTCTGGTGCTGGAACAGGCCCGAGCGCTGGCTGAAGGCCCGTCCGCACTCGTCACACCCGTACGGCTTCTCCCCGGTGTGCGTCCGCTGGTGCTCGGTCAGGATGGAGTTCTGGGTGAAGCTCTTCCCACACTCAGCGCAGATGTAGGGTCTCTCCGCCGAGGAGCCAGCCCGCGGCCTCTCGCACCTGCCCTCCTGCTCACACGTGTCTGCACACTCAGGCATCTGAAGGGTGTCACCGTTCGGTTTCTCAGGAGCTTCCACCAGACATTTCTTTTCCTTAGAGAGCTCCCTCTGCGGGGCTGGCTGCACGCTCCAAGCCCCAGCCTCATCACCTGAAATGACAAATGGATCACATGAGTGTCACATTTCCAAGGGGAAAAGAAAAAAGCAGCCAGGAGAGCGGGTGGCAGGGGACAAATAACCGCGGTTCTGCTTACTTTCCCTGCCTAGCCAAGGACGCCCGGACCTCAGGGAGAGAACACACTGAACTGTAATTGCTCAGGGTTACTCCCAACCAGGCCACAAGCCTCCCTGCCGGTCAGTGTCCCAAGGACAAAGCACACCACCCGGCACACAGCAGGCGCTGAGCAGATGGACGGGGAGGGAGGGAGGGAGGCCTGTGAGAAAGTTCCAGTCCTCACCGATCTCCCGAAGCAGGCACGCCTCCCGCGCCCTGCACTGACCCAACTCCTCCAAGGTTGGGAGGTGGCCGCTTGACGAGGCCCGGGCTGCTCCCCGGCCTGCCTCCTCTGTCACCAACGCTTCCCGTTCGCAGGCACAGGCTGGGACCTGCTGGAAATGAAGGATGGTTAGGAATCAAATGTCAGAGAAGACATCGTAAGGAGGCCTTCCCAGGCCCGCTGCACGGGGGAAAGAAGGACCAAGAAACTGGCAAAACGAAAAAGGCAGAGGGATGGCGCGCCCACAACAGACCACAGACCACATCCGGCACAAAGAATCCTCCCCCCCTTCCTCTTGCTGCACGGAAACCGCACACTCGTTCCTGCAGGTACCGACCTCCGGTCTCCCCTCTTCCACCTGCTCTCCCGGCTCGTCCAGCTCCCTCTCCAGATCCTCCAGCACGGTCACCGCCTGCTCCCCGCTGTCCGGCTGCTGCTCCCGCACCCAGGCCTGGAGCTCGGCGGGCAGGATGGTCAGGAACTGCTCCAGCACCAGCAGCTCCAGGATCTGCTCCTTGGTGCGTGTTTCTGGGCTCAGCCACTGGCGGCACAGCTCGCGGAGCCGGCGCAGCGCCTCGCGGGGTCCAGGGGTCTCCTGGTAGCAGAAGTGCCTGAAGCGTCTTCGAAAGATCTCTCTGGTGTGAGGGTGATCTCTCCAGAGGCCAGGTCCCTGCCCAGAGGCACAGTCCCCATCTTCCTCTTCCACCTTTACTGCCGCATGTCCTTTCCGCATCTCTGGAGCTTGAAGGACCGAGGCTGTGGCCATTGTAGGCTTAACTATTCAGAAAAAGAATCTATCTGTGAGGCTTCCTCTTTGATCTTTTTCTTCTGGAAATCCCAAAATCTAAAACATAATTTGCAGAGAAAAAATTATTAAAATGTAGAAAATCTTTTCTGCTGGCAGGCACTGGGGGTATTTATAGAAAAAGCAGTCACTGTCTAGTGAAGAGCAGGGAGGGCACAACTAACAGTGAGGCCTTTGCAAACCCTGATGCAGGTGACACAGGAAGGAAAACAGACACAGAGCCCCTCCCCCATGCCTGGGCCCCAACACACACACACAGTTTTACTGAAAGAGGGGACCATTTTGATCATCCTCAACGAATGAGCACAAATAACTCCGCTAGAATATACTGGATGGGCAAGATCCTAGACTCAGAGTGTTTCAGTTGAATGGAGGTAAGCCAGCATTGTGGTGCCGAGTGGTCACAGAGGACTCTAAGAATCAAGGAGGAAAGGGAAACAAAACGGAGAAGGGAGAAAAAGTAAAGAAGATAAAAGGACAGAATGAGGAAGAAAAGAAACGCACTGGGGAAGAGAGGCCAGGTCTGTTCCGTCAGGTGAGGTGTGGAGGAAAGAGGTCTGCGTTTGGGCCGGGAGAGATCTGGGGCTGAGACCTGGCCTCCAGGTACAAGCTCTGCAGACCTAGCTTTCTAGGGGATCTGAAGATAAAATAAGATCACGGATAAAGAGCATAAGCAGCTGGCAGCTTGGTAAATTCTATAGTATTATAAATTAACACTATTATTTATCTTATAAATTTTATTGAAGGACTAAATGAATCCTAGTGATCAAAACATCATGGCAAAAGAATCAGAAAGTAGTCAACTGAACTGGTCTTGAGTCAGAGATACCGAAATGAAAGAACTATTGGTTCTGATATTTTTGAATTTTTTTTTTAGTTTTAGAGAGAGCGCATGTGCATGCACAGCAGAGGGGCAGAGGACGAGTGAGAATCTTAAGCAGGCTCCACGCTTAGTACAGAGCCCAATGTAGGGCTCGATCCCACAACCCCGAGATCATGACCTGAGCCTAAATTGAGTTGGACATTCAATCGGCTGATTTGCCCACGCCCCCCAGTTCTGATATTTTAAAACGGGTAGAGTCTGCACTGTTTCTGGTCCTTTAATTTTCCTGGAAATTGTGTCTCTTTGAAACTCCTTGAGGATGGACAGTGGACAGCAGTGCATAAAATAAAACCAGTGCTCATACAGACCCAAATGTCTATGACCACATACAGCTTATAAAAGAATCTAAACCAGGATAGTAATTAATGAAAGCAATTTTCTGAAAGAATATTATGTAACCTAGTGATTTCAATGAGTCATTTCTGGGCAGAGGCTTTCAAACTTTTTTGACCAGGACCCTCAGTAGGAGATATTTTATACTGAGACCCAGAACACACATATGCATATGTGTGCATGTGAATGTATGTTTGTGAGATTCACACACACACATAACTGAAATAGTAACTTGACAAAACACTAAGCACCCTTACTTATGTGACATATACTATTATTTTTTAAATTCCCGGTTGTTGTTTTTAAACCCCAAAAACAAAACAAAACACCCTGGTCACAGCCCACATGGACTTCATGATCCACATGAGTCATGACGTACAGCTTTAAAAAGTTGCCAAATTTAAGTAAAATTATTTTAACTCATTGTAAATATAACCCCACACTATTCTTAGGCATTAGAATCCATCACAAAAGAAAAAGAAAAACTAAGGAGAGGCTATTCAATTACAGCTGAACATGGATCGCACTGTGAGTATAAGAAAAGTTAAATCTGTATTGCATTTACCAGTCACACTTATCAAGGAGGGAAAAACCACCCGGGCAGGGAAGCATCCTTCTGGGTAATCAGCAATCATCATCCCTTCCACAAACTTCTAAAATTTCTGGCATCACTGACTTCTAGAGTCACCACCCCAGGAGGACTGGACAGGGTGTTTTCCTCCAAAGACAGGACCCCTAAGCTCCTAGTCCCTCCCCAACTTTTCCTGGTGCTGACTCACCATCACTGTGAGCACCACATTATCCTTTTCTGTCCAAGGTTCTCACACACCACTCATGCACTAAGCCATTTATTCAGAGCCTACCATATTCCAGGTACTGTTCTAGGCACCAGAGACAAGCTGCAGACAAAACAAAGTGTCTACTTCCATGGGATTTACATTCTAATAGCAACATCAATAACAGCTGACATACACTGCTTTGGAGGTACCGGGCACTGTACTAGATGCTTTACCTATATTACTTCATTTCACCTTCAAACAACCACGAGTAAGGTTTTGTTATTACCCAGCATTACAGATGAGAAAACTGAGGCACAAAGACTTTAAGGCGCTTGCCCAAAGATCACAGGCAGTAAGTGGGGAAGCTGCCTTTCAAACCCAGCAAATCTAACTTCAGAATTCATGGTCTCAAGTGCTACACCACTCGCTCTCCTCTACGTGGGACGGAAGAAGGAAGGGGCCAAGAGGGACAGACAGTAATGAAATAAATACGCCAAACTGACAAATGCTACAGAGAAAAAGCAAGGTAAAGGAGACGGGGAAAAGGAAAGAAAGGTCTGCACTTCACGTGGGGTGTCAGGGAAGGCCTTGTGGACAAGGTGATGTCTGAGCAGAGACCCAAGAAGTGAATGGCGGTAACAGGACTCCCTAGGGAACGGCAGTTCCACGCAAAGGAAACCCAATCCTTGGAGGCGGGAGCATGCCTGGTTCTTCAAGCAACAATGTGGCGACAGCAGAGAGAGCAAGGGGTACAGTGATAGATGGAGTCAGGTTGGGAGATCATGAAACACCACGTGAGGGCTCTGCTCTCTAGTCTAAGATGTGCGGAAAGCCGTCAGGGTTACAGCGGGGGGGGGGGGGGGAGATGGTGACAAAATTTTACTTACACTTAATATGAGAGTATAACCAGCTGCTGTGATAACAGACCGTGGGAAAAGCGGGAGCAAAGACAGAAGCTATCTGGTCATCGAGGGAGCAATGATGGTGGCCGGAAGCCTGGTCTGTGGAGTCTGTTCCAGGGCGTGGAAGTTTGGGGTGCAAATAGGTAAACGAGGGACACGTGCTGTCGCGTCACTCAGTTAACCGAGCACAGGTTCAAAGGATTAAACAGCTACTGGAGCGCTCCTGTTTGGTCACCCTCCTATTTGCTGCCTGTCTGCTTTGGTTTCAAAGATTTTCTATTCAAAGAAAATGTAGTTGAAGCTTTGAGCTCTGCTCATAGAAAATCATTTCTGCTCTATGGTGTTTCAAATTACTCAGTTTCACGAAGACCAATCTCCCCCTACTCTCTGTATAGGCTCCCTTTTGCTCTCCTCCCGACTTCACTTCTGTCTGGTGGCCTGAAATTCCCCAGCCTCACACCCGCACATCTTTGTTGCTCTCTGAACCCAGTGCCTTTTCTAAAAGGCTACCCAAGAGTTTTGTAACCCTGCCCTCCTGCTCACAGACATACAGCTAGTAGTCTCATTTAGGCTCACCACCCCATCGTACAGATCTTCCTCGACTTACCACAGGGCTACGCACTGATGAACCCACCACGAGTTGAAAATATCCTGGGTCGAAAATGCACTGAGTCCACCTAACCCACCAAACATCACAGCTTAGCCTCACCTACCTTAAACACGAGCCTACAGCTGGCCAAATCATCTAACACAAATCCTGTTTTGTTATTAAGTGTTCAAAATATCATGTACCTGAATATTGTACTGACGGTGAACAGAATGGTTGTAAATATATCAGTTGTTTCTCATAAACAACTCAAGAAAGATCAAAACTCAAAATTCAAAGTAGTATGAATGTGGATCACTTTCCCATCATCAACTTGAAAAGCCATCCTATGTCAGGGACCATGTACATGCCAGCTAAAGAATTAGCATAATAATCTCTCACACTTAAAAACCACATCAGCATGTTAGAGCTGGTTTCTCCTACAGTCTCAGCAAGCTTGATACTCCCAAATCTACCACCGCTCTCAGGCAGGAATGCATTTTACCAAAGATACGCATGTCTGTGAAGACCAAGCAGCATGCACCCAAGTATGTCTTTATCTTAAGGCACCCCCCCCCAAACCGTCCCCCGTGATGTTCCATCTAAGGCCCCCACTACTTACTGGACGCATCTCCAAAACACTCAAGCCTGGCTCAAGACCAGTCAGATCTCTAGCTTCAACTGCTGGGCCCCACTCTTGTTTTCCCATATTCCACACGCAAAACCCTGCCCGCTCCACTCGGGCTTGTCTTCTCACTGTTCTTTCATCAGGCTTTCCTCATCCCTTCTCCCTGTCCATGGTCTTGCAGGCTGCACTCATTCAAACTCTACCCAATCTCTGCACCTTGATTTGAATCTCACCTCCTCTGAGGTCTTCCTCATGCATTCCAGTCCACCCTCTTCCTCTTTCCAACTCTTCTATCATTTTACCCCCAGTCTCTATCTTGCAGTTACCTCTCATATTAAAACAAAACCCCAAAAGTACAGAATAACCAATTCCTTCATCAAGCTCTACTTCCCAGAAGTAGACATTGTTAAAGATTAGAACGTATCTTTTCACTGTCTGTACGTCTTTAATGCACACACGTGCACACAGACAACACAAAACCTTTCCTATTCATCGGCAATAAGTAGAAAGTGGTATAAGGCAGCAGATTTAGTTATGAATTCTGACTTAACAATGTGATCTTGAGCAATTTACTTGATTGGTTTTTCTGACCCTCAATCTCATGTACAAAATGAGGACAATTATTTGCAAAACAGTCAAGACTATTACATGAGATGATGCATATAAAATGGTTTTGCACAAAGCCTGGCACGTAATAAATTTCCACCTTTTAAAGAAATACTGTACAATTTTTGGCTTCAGGTGGCTTAATCAATACCTGCAACCTATCCTTGGGGCCAAGACGGTAAGGTTTCCGATCGTCCAAAGCACCGCATGGGTCAGTGGGCGGGGAAACACGTGTTCACACACACCACTAAGTAGCAGTTTCACCAAGTTTGCGGACATGCTCTGGAAGACGTTCCTGTGTTCAGACAACACTCTTCTCTAATCTTAAATCCTGACCGCAAGCCCAGGACTCCTGAGGCCCGAATGGGGGAGGCTCAGATTCAAACTACCCCTGAGCTGTGGCCGCAAAGCTAATGCAGCAAAAAGAACGGAGTGGGCACCGCAGCAGGTTTAAGAAAACGGCCTGGATCTGAACCCTGACTACACCCCTTACCCGCTGGTATGAGTCGGGCCGAGTGACTGGACCTCATGGTCTTTCTCGATGTCAATCAAAAAGCGGACGAGAAGGGGAGGCCCATACTCGGAGCCTACCTCCTGGAGTTCTGAGTCAAGTACGTTAACACCTGGGGAGTGCTTTGAACACGCCTCCCCGGAACGTACTACCCGCTACTGAAATATTCGCTTAACAGACGTGAGCAGACGGCGAGCGCCGCTGCCGGAGGCGAGCCAGACCCCGAGAGGCCGCCACGCGCGGGGGGAGAGGAAGGCTCCTGCGTCTGCGCCGGTCTCCTCCTCCCACGACGCGGACGACGCCGGGCCAGGCGGCGGACGAGCTCGGGCCCGGCCAGGACGCCCCACCTCCCCCACGCGGCCCGGTGACGCGGCTCACACCCCGGCGCGGCCCGACTCCGAAGCTCACCCGGCGTCCGCAGGAGGACAGGGCCAGTCTCTCGGCCCGACGCAGACGGGCGCCGAGTCCTGGCCAAGCGCCGCCCGCCTAGCGACCAGCTACAAAGACCGGAAGTGCGTCACGCGCGCCGCCTCCGGGATAGCGGTTCCGCCGCGTTCCTTCTGCCAAGGCCGGAGGTCTCACGCCTCTGTGGTCGTCGCGCGCGGTCGGCTCTGCAGGTGGAGTGAGGCGCTGGGCGGCGGATTCTGTCCTGCGGGGACGATGGGACAACAGCCAGCATGGTGTTAACGTATTCATTCTGCACAGCAGCCCTGTAAGTGAGGTAGTTACCCCCACTTAACAGATGAGGAAACTGACGCACGTTCCCTCTGCGTTTGTTGCCATTCCGGCAAAGAAATCATTTTTGTGCACTTTACTGAAATTGCAAGAGATATTCCAGGCTCACATTATGCATTCCTTGCCCTAGACCTAGAATGCACCGTTGTTCCATGAAGCGCTGAAGCTCTGGTTCCTTTCAGTGAAGAATGGTATACCGAAGCCAGCCGGTCCGCGCAGGGGTAGAGGGATATATCATTGCTTCTCGGCCATTATCAGTGAATATATATAATTTCTTTTTCTCTTCAGGATTTTATTTTTTATACATTTTAAAAAGTTTATTTTGAGAGAGAGTGAGAGAGGGCAGGGAAGGGGCAGACCGATGGAGAGAGTCCCAAGCAGGCTCCACACTGTCATCACGGAGCCCAAGGCAGGGCTCACTCTCACAAACGGTGAGACGCTGACCTGAACCGAAATCAAGAGTTGGCTGCGTAACCGGATGAGCCACCCAGGTGCCCCAACAGTTACACATGGATTTTCTTAATTTTTTTTTTTTTTTTTTTATTTCTGAGAGAGAGTGAGAGAGACAGCGACAGCATGAGCAGGGGAAGGGCAGAGAGAGGGGGAAGTACAGAATCTGAAACAGGCTCCAGGCTCTGAGCTGTCAGCACAGAACCGACTCCAGGCTTGAACGGGAACCGGGAGATCATGACCTGAGCTGAAGTCGGATGCTCAACAACTGGGCCAATCAGGCGCCCCTACACGTGGATTTTCGACAGCACAGGGGTCAGTACTCCAACCCCTGCCTTGTTCGAGGGTCAGCTGTATACTAGTGCCCCATTTTTATTAGTTTTAAGTTATCCTGTCCTTCCTTCCTCTTTCCCTCCTTCTCTCTTTCCTTCTCTCCTCTCCTTTCTCTTGGAAGTTACTCTAAATTTGTTCATTGAAATATTCTTTTTTTTTTTTTTTTTTTACAGTGGCGTAGTACTCCATCGTGTGGCTTTTTCAACTATTCTTTGAGGGATGGGTATTTGGATTATTTCCAGTATCTTAACAAATAATGCTGCAATGATCAATGGTCAATGAAGAAAGAAAAGTGGGAAGTGAGGAGAAAGGGAGGTGTCTTTGTAAGGGCTGTATTACTTTGCACTCCGAGAGTGCCTGTTTTCACACAGCCTCCTCAACTGTATGGTTTTAAACTTTCAAATTTTGTGAATATGACAGGTCATTAGGTATCTATTATGCAATCACAACCCTAATGATGGAATCCGTGTTAAAAATGGGTTCATGGTATACTCCAAGAACTATATAACATTGATGGAAGAAACTGAAGGTAACACAAAGATATTCTATTCTCGTGAACTGGAAGAACCAATATTGTTAAAATGTGCATACTACCAATGCAACTACTGATTAAATGCAATCTCTATCAAAATACTAAAAACATTTTTCACAGAACTAGAACAAAAAATACTAAAATTTGTAGGGAACCACAAAAGACCTTGAAGAACCAAAGCAATTTTAAAAAAAGAAGAACAGGGGCGCCTGCGTGGCTTAGTCGGTTAAGTGTCCGACTTTCACTTAGGTCACGATCTCGCGGTTAGTGGGTTCAAGCCCCGCGTCGGGCTCTGTGCTGACTGCCAAGAGCTGACTGCCAGCTCAGAGCCTGGAGCCTGTTTCGGAGCCTGTTTCAGGAGCCTGTAACTCCCTCTCTCTCTGACTCTCCCCTGCTTACGCTGTCTCTCTCTCTCCTAGAAATAAATAAAACATTAAAAAAAAAAAAAAACAAGAACAAAGCTGGAGGTATCACAATCCCAGATTTCAAGATATAGTACAAAGCTGTAGTAATCAGAACAGTATGGTACTGGCACAAAAATAGACACATAGATCAATGGAACAGAATGGAAAACCCAGAAATAAACCAACACATATGTGGTCAGTTAGTCTTCGACAGGAGGTAAGAATACCCAATGGGGAAAAGACAGTCTCTTCAATGATTGGTGCTGGGAAAACTGAATAGCTACACTCAAAAGAATGAAACTGGACCACCTTCTTACACTATACACAAAAATAAACTAATGGATTAAAGATCTAAATGTGAAACCCGAAACCATAAAACTCCTAGGAGAAAACATAAGCTGTAATTTATTTGACATAAACCGTAGTCATTTTTCTAGATGTCTCCTCTGGCAAGGGAAACAAAAGAAAAATTAAACTATTTAGACTACACCAAAATAAATACCTTTACACAGCAAATGAAAACGTCAACAAAATAACAAGGGAATCTACTGAATGGGAGAAGATATTTGCAAATGACATATCAATAAAGCGTTAATATAGAAAATGTATAAAGAACTTCTACAACTCAGCACTAAAAAGCCCCAAATAATCCAATTTAAAAAATGGGCACAGGACCTGAATAGACATGTTTTCCACAGAAGACATCCAGAGGGCTAACAGACACATGAAAAGATGCTCAACATCACAAATCATCAGGGAAATACAGATCAAAACCACGATGAGACACCACCTCACACCTGTCAGAATGGCTAAAATAAAAAAAGACAAGAAATAATTGTTGGCGAGGGTGTGGAGAAAGTGGAACTCCGTGTACTATTGGTGGGAGTGTGAATTGGTAGCGCCACTGTGGAAAACAGTATGGAGGTTCCTCAGAAAATTAAAAGAATTGCCATATGATCAGACGGAAGGCCTTCCCATACACACATTCATAAGGTTTCTCTCCGGTGTGGATTCTGTGATGTCTATTCAGGTCAGAACTTCCACTGAAGGCTTTACCACATTCATCATATTCATAGGGTTTTTCTCCTGTATAAATTCGCTCATGTTTGGGGAGGTTTGATCTTCCTCTGAAAACCCTCCCACAGTCAGTGCACTGGTTTAAGGTACGGTATCTCTGAAGCTGAGCAAGTTCTGTGCTGGTACTGGTTTTTACCACATTCACTCCTCATAAGCTTCCTCCCCAGTGTGATTTCTTTGATGTTTAAGGACTGAGCCTTAACTAAAGCTTTTCCCACACTGATCACACTAATGTGGTTTTTCACCCGTGTGGACCAGCTGTGTTCCTTTTTAACGAGGTGCTTAAAAAGCTTTGTGTTTTGACTGATGGCTCTCCCACACTCTTTACACTGAAAGGGCTTTTCCCCTGTGTGGATTCTCTGGTATCCAAGAAGACTGATGTTGTGCAAGAAGCTTTTCCCACACTGATCACATCTGTGTGGTTCTCCTTACTCTGAATTTCCTTGATGCCTGCCAGACCTGTCCTTGCATTCATGAAGGTCTTCAAGGTGGGTCCCCTGGAAACTCCTACCTCTGCAGATTCTGACAGCCCAGAGCCTGGAGCTGCTTCGGATTCTGTGTCTCCCTCTCTCTCTGCCCCTCCCCTGCTAGTGCTCTGTCTCTCAAAAATAAATAAAAATGTTAAAAATTTTTAAAAAACAAACTGTATTCAAATTCAATTAGAGCAGAAAGGTAAAAGTGTATTTATTCTATTGCTTGGAAAGAAAACTCTTTGTCTTGATCTTCCTCCAAAATAGGGTACTGCTTGCAGATTCAGTGTGAAGTGATAATGCCCTTATATAAACTAAGATCAGTATTCTTTTATGAACACAATAGGAAAATAGTTTTAGTGAAATTTGGCCTGAGGGGGATAAATGTCTCATCAAACTAAGATGAAGATTTCTACTTCAATTCAAAGGAAATACCAGAAAAGGTCTGATTTCTTGGCTGTTCTGGTCACTTTATTGCTATTTTCCAGAGATTGTGAAGGGGATCAGGATGTAAAAAGGGGATCAGGAAGCTTTGTGGGAAGCACATCTGATATGCTGTGTGTGAAGCTTTTCCCTGACATGTAGAGAATGTAGAAAGGGAAAGGACCAAATGTAGACTCGAGCGACAGACAGGGAAGGTATAGGGCATGAAAACAGGAGGGAATTTAATGTGGGAGAAGATAAGAGCAGTGCAGTCAAAGGGAAATGTTAAAATGTGGCTCTATCCTGATGGGTAGAAAAAAACCTAAAGAGGGGCGCCTGGGTGGCTTAGTCGGTTAAGCGTCCGACTTTCGCTTAGGTCATGATCTCGCGGTTCGTGGGTTCAAGCCCCGCGTCGGGCTCTGTGCTGACTGCCAGCTCAGAGCCGGGAGCCTGTTTCAGTCTGTGACTCCCTCTCTCTCTGACCCTCCCCTGCTCACACTATCTCTCTCTCTCTCCTAGAAATAAATAAAACATTTAAAAAAAAAAAAAAAAAAACCTAAAGAGACAGAGGATAAGGCAAGACACTAGGTAGGCCATCTTAAAAATCATAAAGGAGAGATGTTGTAAGAAGTCACTGAATGATGTGATAATTCCATGCTTTAATGAAAAGCAAAGATGGGTATGAGAAAAAAGTAAAATAAAATAAAAATCTTTTGTTTAAAAGGCCAAGAATAACAGTTATACTTTGTAAATAGAGAGGTAGATAAGCCAATGAGGATTCTGGGTGAGAGTGAGGGTAGAAACACTCCTGATTAAGCTGTAAAGGATGGCTGTGATTGGCCAAGCGGGAGCCTGCTACCCTGATCCGCGTTCCCATACAGATTCTCCTCTTTCTCACCTCTCTCTTGTAGGGAATGGGGTTCCAGAGAGTTATGCTCAAGCGGGGTCTCCATGTGCTGGAGCTGATCACGTGGTGACTGGCAGGCAGCTCCCAGGGATGTCACTTCCTCCCAGAGCACTTCCTGTCCATTTGTTTGGGATCTTGGGAAGAAAGTGCCATGAGAACTAGATGTAAAACCTTGGGAAGTATGTCTCATGGAGACAGGACAGGGGGAAAGGACTCAACAGGCTTAGAAGAAGAGATGAGGCAGGAAAAGGAACAG